TCGCCGCCCCCTGCACCCCCCGGCCCCTACTCTGCTTCCCCGCCGCAGGCCGGCCCCATGGGACCCCCGGTGGCACCCCCACCGCCGCCGCCGGGGCCCCCCGCCGTCACTGCCTCCCCGGCACACTCGGCATCACCACCGGCCCCTGCCATGGAGCCACGGAAGCCACAGATCCCACTGATGCCCATGAGCGATGCCCGGAGCGACCTGCTGGCAGCCATCCGCAGGGGTGAGTGGCAGGGGTGGTGGTGGCAGGAAGGAGGGGGGACAGGTCCCCAGTGCTGCCACCACAGTAGAAAAAAATCCCTCTTGTCCTAGAGCTGGGTGGTGTTGGCTTCGTTGAGTGCGAGTCAAGCCCCAGGTGATGCATGAAGGTGGTGGCACCTGGTGGAACCTGGGGAGGGAAGGGAATGCAATGGAAGGGGTTGGAGGGAGGTGGGAAAACCCATTGCTGGAGGTGGGACGGAGCCCCACGGGGACGACTGACAGCTCTTGTGTGCATGGCTTCCTTCCAGGCTGTAGCAGATGATGTGCTCCAAGGGTTCTCCCATTTCCCCTTCTTGCCAATGCTTCAGGTCGAATGGTACATTTAACCTTCAAAGAAGGTTCAACCTCTTCAGGTTGAGTGGAAGCCAAGGAGGAGCTTTATTTTATTATATAGCTTTTTAATTGCACCTAGTGGGAGGTGTCCCTGCCCATGGCAGGGGGGTTGGAACTAGATGATCTTTGAGGTCCCTACCAACCCAAACCACTCTCTGATTATCTCACATAGCTTTATAATTGCACGCATCCTCCTGCAAGGGGGCTCCAACCATCTTGCTCCAGCCAATACTTGTAACTGGGGTGTTGCTGCACCTTGGGTGCGTCCACGGGTGCTGGGCATGTTCCCCCCTAAAGCCTTCCCCTCTTTCTCTACTGCAGGAATCCAACTCCGGAAAGTCCAGGAGCAATGGGAACAAGAGGCCAAAAAAGAGCCCGTGGGCAACGACGTGGCGACGATCCTGTCCCGCCGGATCGCGGTGGAGTACAGCGAGTCCGACGACGACTCCGAGCTGGACGATAACGAGTGGTCGGACTGAGGGGGCCCCCGGGGCTGGGCTGGCACGGAGCTCCCCGGCTCCGTCCCAGGTGTGTATAGGCGCCTTCCCCAACCCTCGATGCCAACCAGCGCGGGCGGCCCCGCTCGCTCAGGAGCTTTGCTTTTACACCATGTCGAAAACCCTTCGGGCAGCAGCAGCAGCAGCAGCACTGGTAGGATACACCTCGGAGGCAGTGAGACCAGAAGTTAGCAGCACTTTCACTTTATAATGACTTCCAAAATGGCTCTGGAGGCAGGTTAATAGCACTCTTCCGGGTTGACACCTGGAGAAAGAGCAGAGACTGGCCCTGAGTGTGCTTTGCTAGAGAAGGGGAACCCAGAGGCAGTAGTGCTTTTTCAGATAGATGTTTAAGGTGTTAATGAGAAGCTCCTGGAGAAGAAGCCTGATTGCACAGCTGGTGTCACCACAGGCACACAGGGATGGCCACGTGCTGGGCTTGGGGATGCTCTGCTGCCTGTATTTGTAGGATCTGGCAGCTCCAAAGGCTGCATGTGGGCAGGAGTCTCCTTCCCCATAGGGCAATGCACTGTCACCGTTGCATAGGGATGCTCACCATCATGCTATTGCTCCTTGGAGAAGACCAAGGTGTTGGTCACCTGAGCCCATTTCCATCCTTAGGACCAGTTTTCTGGTAGAAAATCGTGAAGGCAAGGCTTGTGCAGCTGGTGGGGAAAAACAGCTCTTGTCCTTGGGGGGAAAAGGAGTTGCCAGCAAGGGAGCAGAGGTGTCCAAGGAGCTTCCCCAAGCCCAACTCTTCTCAGCCTAAGCACTACACCATTTCAGTATTATTTAAAAAAAAAAAAAAATTAATTAGATAAAATGCTGCTTTTACGTAAACTCTCAACTTGCACTTTGCAGCCCCACAGACTGCACCCATACAACCGAGATGGACTCAGATCCAGGCACTCAGTCCCCCTGGGCCTGATCCTGCCCCATCCATTACCCACAAGCAGGGTGAGGCTGGAGAGTTTGGTGCCCACCATGGTGTTTTGCTCCTCAAAAGAGAACATGATTCATCAAAGGCTTTTCACACGAAGGGAGGAGACGTGGAAAAGCAGAGCAAAGGGGTGGGAAATACTGAAAATTCCACAGTCAGGAGTAAGAGCAAGCACAGAGATGGGAGAGGTTCCCCACCAGCAGAAAATGGGCCAGGACCAGCCATGGGCTTGCCCAACACGGTGTTGCGAGGTCCTGTCTTGTCTTCCCATATACCATGGGTCCCTGAACAGGGGAAAACTGACTTTCCATATTGAATCTCTTCTGAGGAGAAGCTGGGCTCTGAGCCCACCTCCCCAACTCTCCCGGTAGCCACGTAGGTGATGGCTACAAAAGTAGTATTTTGACTATCTAGGAGTTACCAGACCTGTAAAGGAGGCAGGAGCATGTCGCTGGGACCCAAAAGGCTCAGAGGCTGATGCTTATGTTCACCCTGAGAAATGCTGATGTTGAACAATGCCCCAAGTATCTTCCTGTTTCCCCCTGGTGAGAAACCCTTCATGGTGAGATGTGATGAACCCCCTGCCTGGCTGCTGAGAAATATCCCTGGGAGCCCTCCCTTCTCTCTCGACTGACCAAAATGGTCTCATCCCTTCGATGTGACGCCTCCTGCATCTCTGCATCTGTGGTGCTGAGCAGGGGGTCAAATGGAAGAGCAGCATGGATGTGGGAGAGGGCAAGGGTTGTTGGGGAAGGTGTTAGGGGAGGGTACACTGCCATGGGCCACATCCACAGGTTTGGCCCCCCTTTCCTTAGGGAAAGCTCCCCTTGACTTCAGCAGGAATGACTGTCAGAGCAGGAACTGCAAATCAAATCCTTGGATTTAACCCTGGAATTTTCCATCTCGGCAGCACTGATGGTTGGGCACTGCAGGCAGGAAGCAGCAGAGAAATAGGGCACATGGAACTCATCTCCAGACCTCAAGGAAACAGGATTGACCAAAGGAGGCAGGGAGACATGGTGTCCTGTAGGTGACCAGGAAATTCCCAATGCTTGGTGCTCACTGAGAGCTCTTGTGTCTGATGTCAACCCTCTGAGATGCAGGGAATGGGCTGCAAAAGGTTTTGGCCAAAGCCCAACATCTCCACCCAGGCAGAGAGCCCTGGCAATGCCCACGATGGGCTTTCCTCCGCAAAGCAGCTGGGGTTTGACCTGAGCAAGTTCAGAAGAAAGGCTTGTAAAAATTCAGAGCAACATTTAAGAGTCACCTGGTGGTATTTAATGTGGAGGGTTATTAATATAGATGCCATCGTGATACTGTTTGTATGTGAAGAGCACGTGGTGGCACCCAGAGCCCCAATCTCATGATACAGCCATTCCTGCAAGGCCAGCTCTGCTGGCAGGCTGACATCCTCAGTGCCTTTGCTTGAGGGACTCAGCTACATTTGAGGATGACCATCTTTATTTTAGTTACATTCATCTATTTTTTGCCCAGGTGACTTATGAAATCCGACACAAGTGACACCATCTCCTTGGCTGGTCTGGCTGGGTTAGCTCTGCTGGACTTGGTTGAGCCATCCTAATTAACCCTGGCTGGCTGACCCATATGCTGCCTACTCAATATTTTGTACATATGTGCCTATTTCTGTATACTCTTCCAAAAGTAGGCCATGCTGTGTTACACAACCTGAAATGCTCAAATCCCCAAGTGGGCTGATATAAAAGTGAATATTTAAATATTTTATCTAGCTTGTCAGCCATTAAAAATACAATTCAGGTCACAGACGATTGCATTTCTCCTCTCTCAAGTATACCAGAAGTGGGATGAGGAGATTCTCCTGTACATTAAGGTATCGTGTTCCATGTTAAAATACAGCAGTGGCATTTCATTGCCAACAGATGATCAGAGAGTGCCAAGCATTTAATGAGCCCAACCGATCTCCTGAGAGCTCCTTTTTCCATTTTATCTGCTTTCTCCTACTTGCCAGTTTATGGGCATAGATTAAAAATAATAAATAAGTCCACCAACAGGGGGAAGTATATTCTGTGGGCATACAAATGAATTGGGCCAGAGTCAACAGAAGAGGAAATAAACCGGTTTGGTTCTGCTTAGAGATATTAATGGAAGGCTATAGTCCTTGAGGTCCCTCAGGAACCTCTTGGACATTTCTGATTTATATGAAGAAGGACATTATGGGGACCACTGTGCTCATGGTACACTGGTCATTGCCTGTGAGGGCTACATCAGGTGTGAAGTCTGGTCTTGCTCAAGTTTCATGAAGGTTGGTGGAAGTCTAGCAGTGTTCACGTTCCAGTGTTGCACCCTCAGTGTCCCCTTGATTTTGAGTGAACGCTGGAGTTAGCTGTTGGCTCCGGTGGCTCTTAGACAATCAGTGTCCTGAAGGAAGGAGGAGGGATTGGGTAACTTCTGGCTTTTCACCCTGGGCAGAGACCTGGGAGGAGCAAGCATCACATCCTATGAGAACTCCTGATCCTGCAGGTATTTTTATCTTGGGAAGGTTTTATTCTGGTCACAACCGTAAGGCAGAACACAGCTTCTCCAGAGAGCTCCCTTCACATAAGAGCCCTCAAATACACTCCCAGCAATCTTTCCATCTGTGTCGCCCTTTCAAGACACTCAACAGCCTGAACAGAAGCTTTGCAGACTCCCTGGGGAACACAGCCTGAACTGACACCTCAGCTTTAACGACAAATGGGAGTTTCACTTGGAGAGAGGCAGGTTGTAGCACTGGAGGCAGTATTTTGGAAGGTGCTCTCCAGAGGTGCATGGCCAACAGGAGCATCATGCCATTTCCTTGTGGGTGGACTGTGGAGGGTGGTGGGAAGCGCTCCCCATCATGGGATGCTGGCAAGGGGAGCATAGGCTGTTTCTTTCACCGTGATTCTTGTTTTCCTGTAGTAGTAGTTGTTATTTAGGAGTAAGGTTCTCTCAGCTGGCATGTCACTTTACAGATTAAAAAAATAAACGTAAGGGCAAGGACTCTGTCCTGAGGAGTTTACAGTTTACAGCAAAGACCATATAACCTGCACTGCACTTTAGAAGCCTCAAACGCTCACAAACCCATGAATTTACCCTCAACTGGGCAGCAGCACCTTGAGGACTGTTGTCCCTTCCTTAGGTGACCCCACAACCAACACCACAACCACATCCCCCCCCCCGCTGATGGCAGCAGTGGGGCTTTCCTGCCCCTTCACTATCCCCACGCAGAAGTGCCTGAGCAAAGTACGGGAGCACCAAGACATGCTGGTTTTGTCTCTGAACGGGTCACCATGCCCTCAGGGTGGACCTTTCCCAGACCCCACACAGCTGTGCTCCTCTGGGATGATCATGCATGCGATAAGAAACATGCCTGGGTAACACTTAGAGCTGCCCACTCAATTCATGTGATGGCCTCTAAGCTCCAAGAAAGTGTCCTCCTTCAGGTAATTATACCCAAGCCTAAACTTTGAAGTATTTCAGTCTTTTTGAGAGTTGAGGAGTTCTTTTTTCCTGTGAATCTGATCTTCCTTTACCAAACCCCAGGTTTCTAGAATCAGTCTCTCAAGCTCTGCTTTCTCCAGGTGAGAATTGTGCCTGCATTTTACTGGGGGAGGGAAGAAAGAGGAAAAAACACAGTCAAGAAGTTCAGTGAGGGGTTTGCCCCAAAGCCTTCAGGGCTGTGCCTGCGGCAGGGTGGGAAGAGGACACCATCCTGGTGTTGTCACTAGGCTGAGGCAGAGCCTGAATCGAGGGATGGGCTCTTGCTGCAGGAAATCCCCAGGCAAGACCTGGATGGGACATGGTGTCCCCTGAAGGCAATGCTGATGTGACATTGACAATATTAATGTCTGTCTTACATTGGTACAGGGCCCTGAGGCCACAGACATCTCCATAGCACTACATGATGGTTGATCACTGATGCTTCACCCTCCCACAGGCATCTCTCCTAATAAGTATCTTCCCACAGGTGCCACCTTCAAAGAAGCACCCAGAGGTCCCTCTGTAGTCTTTTACTCATAGCAGGAACAGGCTTAAATCTGCTGTTGGTCACTGTGTCTGGGGGCTTGTGAGCCCAAGTGTGTGAGAAATAACAGGGAATTAGTAGTGGCAATACTGGGGAACTGGGTTAGCCCTGGGGGGACTTTCAGCCCAATGGTAGTTCTAGCACTTGACTGTGTAGGAAGTATTGAGAGTGCAGAGAGGAGGAAATAAGATAGAAAGAAAATAACCTGATATTATAGGTTAATTATGTTCCCACCACTCTGTACAGGAAAGACCTCAGGTAGGTAAAACCAGCTGCAAAGCTACAAAGGGCAGTGGGGAGAATAAACCTGTTCTCCATGTGTGTGTTGGACCAAAGTGTAAGGCACAGGATTGAGCAGTGGCAGAAAGGAGTTGAAGCAGATCTCAGGGAAAGCTTTCTCAAGGTGATGACGGAGAAACTCTGAGATAGGTCTCAGAGCCTCTGAGGTCTTTGAGAAGCAGGTCAGCTTCAGCACAGAGGAGCACTGTCAGTGACCCTGTGTTGGGCCAGGGGGTGGTGGAGGTGCCCACAGAGCACCTCTTCAAACCTGGCATGTTTGTAGTTCTGCCTCATCCCCTCCTCTAGGCTTGCAGCACCTCTACTTGTAGATCTGTCCCAGCAGGACACCACCCCAAAGCACTGCCCATTAGCCAGCTTGTGTTCTCCCTGAGCTTTATTGCCCCTTTTCTGGTTTCAGTGTCAACCCTCAAATACAATAGAGACATAATGTACTGCAGAATAAGTACATGAGAGGGAAGGATAAGAACTAACTGCAGAAAACCAGGACAGGCAGCTGTTACTGCTACATTTCAGTAGTTGAAGGCAACAGTTCAGCAACCTGCTCCTCCAGACCACTCATGGCCCACGGACCGCACTGTGTAAACCATGCTGGTACAATAAGGTGAACCATCTGAAAGTTACCCTTTGATTTGGAGTAGCTTAGATGAAGAATCTAAAAGCAAGCAACCACCACCCCCCACCCCCAAAAAAAGAATAAAAAACACATAAAGAAACAACTCACGTGATTTCCAGAAGGAAAAATCTGTTCTTTCTCCTTCCCCTTGACCTTGAAGGAAGGTCAGACCCAGCATTGCTTCCCAGCCAGCCACCAAAAAATGGAACAGTTGTCATCGTAACTGCTTTCAAAAGTTACTTCCTAAGTAACCAGCATTTGAAGGCAAGCAGCACATCAGCCCACAGTGCAACAAAGAGAAGAGTCTCCAGCACCATAGGACGTGCTTTTGTCCCTGAAGGCCCCACCCCAGCTCAAGTGTTTCAAATCCCATTGATTTTCTCCTTTTTACTGGTGCTTGTATGTGCCCGATGCCTCAGCTGGGAACACTTAGTCCATAGAAAGTCACTTCTTGCCATGAAAAAACCAACAATAAAAATCTTGCATTAGAAACAAAGTGGGCTTTGAGCCTGGTGACATTAGGACACTGAGGAGTTGTTGGTTTCTCACTGGCAGCAGGTGCATCTTTGGCACAGTCCTGCCAGGTCTCCAAATACAGGATGCTGTTAGGAGCATCAGTGCCCCCCCCACCCCCACCAAAGTTATTTTTATACTGAGATGTTTCAGGTCTATCTTTAGTTCTGGCCAGTTTTCCTCCAAATGGAGCCTCTCTTTGTGGTGCCTTTTGTCTCAGATCACATCAGATTAGGAAAAAGAAGGAAAGTCCCCAACAAAAAGCAATCTTTTTTCCTCCAAAATGCATTTTTGGGAGCATTTTGGGGCTGATGGCTCCCCATCTTAATAGACCTCCTTCATTTTGGGGCTGATTGACTTGCCTGGGGGAATCTGGAACAGGATATTCCAGCGTGAGCTTGGGTTGATGCTGAAGCGTTGCTGGCACTTTTCTCCTCTCTGGTTTCAGCCGTGCCATGTCACGTGTGGGGCTCAGGTCTGGTGTTCCTGTTGGGAGAGCAGTGACATGACAGCTCCTTACAGACACAAGTGCCTTTTCTGGAGGTCCCCACTGCGTTGCCGAGGAGCACAGGGCTTCACAGGGTGGTTCCCCTTGCCCAGCTGGGGAAGGACAGAGTATTCTTAAGCATTTCTGATGCTCAGCCTGTCCTCACCTGCCCACACCCCGAGGTATCCACTGGGATTCCTCCCTCCTTGTGCAGGCATAGTTTGGGGAGCAGCTTTTACCCCAACTTTGGCCAACCCAAGGAAATCCTGCTCCGGCAACCAGGTCTCCAGGTGCAGATGCAAACATTGCACCTTCGGCCCAGGGACAGTCCCCAAGAGGACACGGTGGCCATGTAAGGAGGTGACAAACCCTGTCACTGCTTGGCTGTGGGACATGCATGTGCTGGTGGGTTTGCTCCAGGGTATGTGTATTGCTGCAGCGGTGGGACAAGCACGCAGGCTGGAGAGCCTTCCTCCTTTTTCTTCTCCTCCTCCTCCTCCTGCCCCATCCCAGGGCTGCTGGGACAATGCCAGCTGCAGTGGCAGGACAGGAGCCATCTCGTAGCCAGGCTTCCATCACCCTCAGAGTGAGTAGGAGCACAAGCACCTCTGGGTGAGGCCAGGCGCTGCAGGAGCCTTATTTTGGGGGGAATTGATGGTAGGTGAGGATCATCTCCTGTGCCCTGCACCCAGCAGCCCAGGGATCAAGGCTAGCCTAGACTGGGCTGGGAGCACCTCAGACACCCCCCCAAAAAACCCCTTCACTACCCAAACTGAGCAACTGCAAGCTGGGGAGACCTCCCGGAGCACTGGGGCAACAGATCCTCCTAAAATAGAGCATCTGTGAGTGACCAGCTTGAGACAAGCGTTTTGAAAGCATTTTTTTCCCCTTTTGGCACCAGCCATTCGTACGCACAGCCTGGAGCCAGGGCTGCAGCCTGTCTTTATGGAGGTTGGCTCCAGCTCTGCAGGGGTGGCACAGCAGGGATGGGGACGTGCCAACCCAGTGGCACCTTGTGGTTGTCTTCCTGGGGTGCTCAGCAGCAGTGAGGCTGCCCCGATGCTACTGCAGAAAGCTCATTTTTTTTTTAATACCGGCAGAAGTATTACCTGTATTTCCTTCGACTTGCCTTTTGATAAAAGCAGCTGACAGGAGATGGGCACTTCTCCCATGGGAGGGTCACCCATTACAGGCCACAACTTGATTTCCATTATTATATAGTTGACGTTAAAAAACAGAAGGAGATGTTCACTGTCTGATGGGGTCTTTTAACCATGTGCACTTAGTCAATAGGTGAGTAGATGTTGCTGCTTGTATCTATCTACCCTACCCAGTTGCTACGTGTGAACAAGTGTATTTCTCCCCAGTGTTGTGGGTTCTGCCTGTCGTGACACGATGACGGAAAGGTAGGGACTACGTGGGTCGCCACACGAGCTTTCTTCTGTACAGTGTAGAGAGGAAAACCGGAACGACCCCAAGCGCCGCTTGTAACTACATTTGTTCAAAAAAAAAAAGGTCATCTTATTCCCAAACTGTTGACACTTTATGCATGTGGTAATAATTAAAAACAAAACAAAACGACAAAATTAATAAAGATTTTAAGAGGTTAAAGTGGATTTGGGTTTGGCTTTTTGTCAGCTTGCCCTTGCTGGGTCCCTTTGCTACGAGTTCTCAGCCCTCTGGTGCTCCCTTCTCTATTAGAGGCCAGGGCACAGAAGCAGCAGCACAAAAGCTGTGATGTCTCTATAACCCTTCATTTGGAGAAAGCAGCTCTCGAAGATCAATTCATTCCTGTGGATATTTAATCCCTGACTGCCTGGGTAACTGGAGGGCAGAGGATGGCTCCTGCTGATGGAGAAGTCTCCATCCTTTCGCGTGGAGGCTCCGAGCCATCCCTTCCCAACCCCACAATCAATGTCTCCAGCAGTTCTCATCCTCAACCAGCTCGTCATGATCCAAGTGGAAACACAAACCCCCGGGGAGGGAAAGCAGAAACCTGTACCAGACCAGCTTCAGCTGAAATAAACACACAGACACGCACAGCATGGCACATACCTGGGACAGGAGCCCAGATCTTCAAATGTTTTAATTTTAACCCCCCCCAACCCCCCTATTTTTGGATATCCTCTTGACAAATCACTTTAACAGTTTTATTTACAGTAATAAAAATAAATTACTCTTACAGATGAATGTATACTATTATACACAATAGAGATACAGTGCAATAACAGCATTGATTTGTTTCCACTCGTTCATAAAGTGCATTGAAGGGGCTTGATTTAACCGTAATTGAATGATAACTGTACATTTTTCTTTGAGATCAACTCTCCCAGTCGAGTTAAAAGGCTAATGAAAACACGTACATCAAAATAAGTTGCTGTCCCGACTGCTGGGAAATGGCCCAGTTCCCGGGGAAGCAGCTAGGACAGGAGGCAGGACTGGGAATGGGGACCATCGACTCCCACTCTGTCCATCTGTGTTGCCAAAGGTGGCTCCGATGGACACTGCCCGAAGCCTGGCCAGGTTTGATCTGGGGTTCAGAGCCTCAGGAGGTCTGTGACCACAAGGCAGGACCTGGCCCTGGGCCACCCCCATCTGGCTGAGTCCCCTTCTGGTGGCTTTGCCACCAGAAACTCATCCCTCCTTCTGAGGGAGAGGATTCACTCCCTAGGGAGGATGCTCTTTATCCTGCCTGGGGCCTGATTCTGACCTACTCACAAGGGACATCAGAGACCAGCCCAGTCCTTCTCACTCCCTACCTGGTGTAGAGCCAAGAGACCAGGCTGCAGCAGACTCAGAAGGACACTGACTTTGCCAGCAGCGGCCAGCACCACATCTCATCCTTAGCCAGATACTGCCCAGTTGGCAAAGAGCTTTTGCTGGGCCGAGCCGGATGTTTTCCAGCTCCCAGCTCCCCCGATAAGGTCATAAACCTGTGCTTTGTGATTTCAGTGTGAAAGGCTGTGCTGTCAGGCATCCGGCGTCCTGCCCGCTGCAGCGTGCTCAGATTGTGAAGGAATAACCTTGGTTTAGACACGATTACACTTGACATCGAGCAGAATTTGTGAAGGCAACTATTACCCTTGGAGCTGGGGACAATTTATTCACGTCCCTCAAAGTCAGGGATAAAAGAGCTTTGGACCATCCGTTCCGATTTGCATCTTCTCTACTGAAAACCCATTCTATCTTTACAATCCCCTATCTTTCAGAGTTTTCCAATGGGAATGAGCAAACCTCCCTTCCCAGGGTTGCAGGGACAGCGGGAAGGGCGGCTCGTGGGAGATTTTGCAGGTGACAACTGCATTTCGAACAGAAAAAGTACAACAGATACCAGTGAAACCATCAGCTGTGGGGCAGCAGGACCACCTCGCCGAGAGAAGAGGTCGCGCATGAATGAAAGGCGTTACAAGGAAATACCATGTGCATTGAACAATTGTTCGCGACAATTAAAAGTGAACCAGTAATTAATTGTTGACAATTAAGTGAGTTTGTCGATGCTGGTCAATACACATCAACACAAGTGATTACCAAGATCAATGGCTTTACAGAGACCTCCCCACCCCAAATTTGATGCTTCTGCAAGAAAGAGGTACTTCATCACCTACTGAGAACAGTAATGGTTTTGGGGGGTTTTATTCAAAGTTCAATTAAAACTCTTTGTTCGAGATGAATAAATTGTGGCTGCCACAAGGACTGAGATCCTTGAGATATTTACTGCTGGTTATTGAAATGAAGCTGGCTAAAAAGAGATGTTTTCACTGCTCAAAGTCCCAAACTGAACTCGGCTTTAGCTCCTCACATCCCAAATCTTCCTCTTACTGCTATGGAGGGTCCACCAGGGAAAATTATTTTCCATTGACCCTCGTATGCCTTTGTCAAAGCTGAGCAATGGATCCCTCCAACTGAGACAAGTTTCAAGTATACAATTAAATTCTAAAAGAGAATATTGTTAAAAGCAAAACCTTCAGCAATAGGGAATTGACTGAAAGGCCAAGAAAATGCAGGGTTTTTTTTTCATGTCAGAGTTTCTCTAGAGCTGATTAGTTAATCCACCTTTCACTTAGAGATGCAAAATGAGCCGCCCAGAGAAACAAATACTGTCTTCCAGATCGGGTTGTGTAAAAACATTTCAAAACATTCACAAAGTTTCAAAAATGGTTTGAACTAACTCTGTCTTGAGTTTTCACACTGAGGAACTGCAAGGACCTGGCTGCGCTTACAGAAACCAGAAGAACTAAAATGAGCAAAGTGTTTATATGTATATATATTACTTGTTCTTATATATATATATATATATATTTACTTTTAAATATATGCGGATTCAACATTGTGCCTACTGCCCATTGCCCAAGGTATTCAAAAGAGAAAAGAAATGAAAAAAAAAAAAAATAAGAGACTGGCCACCTTTCAAAGGTAGACAATAAGCCCAAGCCCCAGGCACACTTTGGAGATTCATAGCTTTCTCATGTGCACTTAGCTCTGAGGAGCGAGGAATTCATTGCACGGATCCAGAGAGAAAATACAGTTGTGCCTGTATCCAGCCATAAAGTGGCTTCGTACCCACTACAGCCTCAAAAAGCAAGAACATTTCCATCTTCCACGAAACTACGGTGTACACACGCGGCAGTGTGGTGGTGGTGGCACCGTTGGGTTGTGTTGATAGGAACCATCGTCCGTTTTGCCCATGGTGCAGCAGAACCCACCTCCTGCTTTGAAAAGGGGCATTTTGGATGCTGGAGGTCACAGCATCCTTCTCTAAAGGGCAGCAACGTGCTTGGGAGACCAGGCTCAGCTGGTGAGGAGTCTTCTGCTGCCACCACTGAGCTGTTCCCATGCTGGGCCCCAGAGCTGCACCCACCACCTCTAGCTTTGAAAAGGGGCATTTTGGATGCTGGAGATGACAGCAACCTTCTCTAAAGGACACCAACATGTTTGGGACACCAGGCTCAGCTGGTGAGGGGTCTTCTGCTGCCACCACCTCTGCCCTGAGCCACCCCAGGGGGTTTCACCCCAAGCCCCACCACCTCTCTGAGGGTTGCTTGGTTTCTTGCTTGCTTTTTTTTAAGTGAACGCACTATTCCACTTCTCGGCCAAAAGAAAGCACAAGATAAAGGACACTTCATCATGGTCTCACTAACACCACAAAGCACGTGATACAGTAGAGGAATGTGAGGGTACCGTAGCTTCTCTAATGAAGCAAGTTAAACTGGTAGCATCCGGAATAACACCCCAGGACACACGTGTGATTACAGAGGCTTCCCTTGAGGGGACCCCAGCAAACCCGGACCCATCTTTGGATGAAAATCCCCCCGCCCCCCCCCATGTAAACGAGCAGTGTGGAAGGGAGCACCACCCCATGGCCCCACACCGAGCAGGAGAGCCCTTCCTCGGCCTCCCCAGAGCCTTGGGGTGGGGGGCACCCACCGTGAGCCCCCACCCTGCCCGCGGCCACCTTTTTTTGATCCCTGCCACAACCCGAAACAGTGGCCGTACCCTAAAGTGCCTTTGCCCCCCCCCAGCTTCTCAAAGTGCTTCGCAAACGACAATAGAAACAGAGAGGCATCGTGAC